GAGAGAGAGAGAGAGAGAGAGAGAGAGAGAGTGTACACACATATATAAATAATATAATATAATCGTAATATTTTGACAAAATTGCTCATGGCTAGATTCTGTTCAGGATCTCTAGATATTAGTAAAAAGATAGCATTTATTGGAAATTATTGCAAAAATATTGCAAGTACTGCTGCAGTTTTTGCAGCAGCGTTTCAACGCACCAACACCATACTGTTGATTAAATTTACATTGAGCGGTGCCCCATCCAACTTGCATCACTCCTTTGGATCCAAGTTGTACCTCATACATCCATTTTCCCTTGAACACTCCTGTATTGGCTCGTATTGTGCTGAAGCTACTCTGCGAATTGACACTCAATCTGTCAGGGGAGATAATGCAGAGACCATGTTGTATGGATATGTCGAATCTAACGAGATGAGGACCTATACGGCCCTCTCTATCCTCGGAATTCCACATATCAATATACAGATTCAAGAGGGATTTTCTGATATGCTCGTTTACCCAATTCAAATTCTGAAATGATCTAAAACAAAATATGACTTAGCAATTGTAATAATTGATAGAGAATGTCGCATTACTAGTAAAATTTAAAAGGTACAAAATATAAAAATATAACAGGAAAATATAAAAATATAACACATTTAAGTGTGTTACGTCCTATTTCATTTTATTTCGATACATATCTAAGTTCTTTTCAGCTGCATTGTCAAGTACTTTTTGCGACATAACATAAAGTAAAATGAAATAAGAATAAAAAATTGCAAAGCTAGGGTATTTAAAGCAGACATGTACATGGACTTTTAGATCTCGTTTACAATAGGGTTTCCTACAGCTTCAATCTTACTTCTTTCTTTATCCTTATAATACAATAATAAGTCTATAAGTATTCTTTTGGTCATTTATTCTAAGCTATGAGCTTGTGACGTTAATTTGTTATGCAGCTTTAAACTTTACAGCTACATCTGACCAACTTACTTAAAGCTTAAGGTAGCACCGGAAACGCTTTTTGTCAAAAAGAAATGTCATGATTTAGAAGCTAAAGGCTTATTAAGTTGAGTGTAGATTTATAGAGTAGAACAGAGCAACTTTTTTTTGCCTGATTCGTTCATTTCGTACAAAAAGGCGTCGAATGAACCTAATTCTATTGATTTTTGAGGTGCTGTAGCTAAACTGCGTAATTACCCCCACGATTTTATATATGGTTTTTCCGTATTAAAAGTATGGAGAACAATGCTCCATTTGTGAAGCTAAATGCTAATGAGTCTCTGTTTAAGGGACAATATTGCCCCAGATATGATCGATATTACTATCTTGATCAAATCAGGTGTGGTTAAAAATACATAGAGCCTGATTAGAAAAGATGAACTTCAATATAGAAGGGATACTATGATGCTATTCGTGATTTCTGCACAAAGCGTGTTCTTTGCTGCCCAAGGAGGATAAACGCAAATTTATTGCGTGGTATACCGTGACCCTTCATAGTAAGTCAAAAAATCAAACAGGATCGAAAGCAGAACAACAAGTCATTATCGCTGCTTTCCTTTTAGAAGACACACTCGACACAAACATCATTTTATCCTTTTTGGCATTCAATAAATGACAAAGGTAGAATAACACTTGTGTCGACTGTGTCACCTAAAAGGAAAGCAGCTTCTGATATCAAAATGATGTTAAAATGATGTTAAAATGACCATTAAAAGTCATTGAGGCTTATTAAGAAGAAGAACCCAGCTTCTGCTCCGACTAGAGACTTAACTCCCACCTGGATTGTCCGAGATGATCGTCTTTAGATCTACCAGCGGCAGTACGCTCGACGTTGAGAGGACTCGCACCGAAGATCCTATACAGAACTTTGTCCGCGTCCATCACCGCTACTGAGAATTTACGTTCAATGAGCAAGGTGTTACGTAGGTTAAACCGCACCGCGACGCGACATCGCCGATCCTTCACCAGCGATTCCGCGCCCTAGTCTCACGCCTCACACTTTCTTCCCAACCGCTACGTCCCACGTAGCGAGTCGCGGACTCGCCGGCGGTGTCGATAGACAGCCGACAGCGTCCGACAGCGTCTGACAGCGTCCAACAGCGTCGGCACCGACAAACGGCGATAGAATAATCGATAGACGACGGCCCTCGCCAACCCTCGGCCCCTCGCCGTCGAGGAGAGACGGGAGGACGGGAGTTTCGATTTATGCAAGAAGACTAGAACTAAGGGTGAAATCACACCCAAGCAACCAATCAGCGCTATTCCGAATAGCGCTGAATAGCGTTGATTGGTTGCTTCAATGACGCATTCTCTATTCCGCAGTCTTTTTCCTGCACGTGTGATTTCACCCTTAGGAGGATCAACTCGTGCCAATAGCGGTAGTGGGGGTGAGGCAAAAAGTGGCGACGGATAACTTCCCCCACTCTTGCGCTTCATTAGTCCTCTCTGTCGCTCTATATAGTCGTCGCTCTGTCGTTCTATAATCGTCACTTTGGCTACGTTCAGCAAGAGCAACGGTTGCACAACAGTTCAGTGAAAAGCTGCTGAACGCGCTGTTGTCAGTGTCCAATACGCAACGTGTTTACTGAGCGGACGCCATTTTTTCCATCATATTTTAAGACCGCTACCTGAGCTCAACGTGTTGAGGAATACGCCCATAACCTCAAATGTGACTCTAGACATTCTAAAATGTTCTTTAAATACATAATCGTTGTACCGTGGTACAATTACTTCATAATAATGTTCATTCTTTGATCGCATTCTACGTTCATTTTGTAACAAATTATTTCGCAATGGTTCGTCCAATTCCTTTGCTATGAAGTTTATGATATTTCTCTGTAATTCTATACCTCTCACATCATCCGCATCGTCGGCAGCAATTAATATCAAATGTAATAAATCCATGTTCACACCGAAAGAACAATACAAACAACGAAAATGACAAATTAACCTAAATAAACAGTCATACCACGGTAAATAGATGATATAAGTCACATGACTTAAGAGAATAGAATCGTTCAGCAATTGGTAACCGCTCACTCAACGGTTGTCGCAACATGTTGGAAACAAGTTGAGGTTGCTGAACGTAGCCTTTGTCGCTCTTATATCGAACTTTCACACAATGGGTGCGTTCAGCAGAACGTTTGTTTTGCAACTGTTGTAAGTTTCCTTCGCGCTAATTGGATTATACTTTTAGATCTAGAAGAATGGTCCTATCTCAGCAGACAATGGGTGCGTTCAGCAGAACGTTTGTTTTGCAACTGTTGTAAGTTTCCTTCGCGCTAATTGGATCATACTTTTAGATCTAGAAGAATGGTCCTATCTCAGCAGACAATCATAAAACGGTTGCAAAACTGTTGAGTCTGCTGAACGCAGCCAATCATAAAACGGTTGCAAAACTGTTGAGTCTGCTGAACGCAGCCAATGTGCAGTGCCGCTGCACATTGTGTGAATAACTGCGGACGTTTTTTGACTCACCCCCACCACACGAGTTGATCCTCCTTAGTTCTAGTCTTCTTGGATTTATGCGAATTGCGAGCAGCGCGTCCGTCAAAGGCGCCAACATCATGTCTAGAATCCCTATACAGAGTGTCTGGGGATCAATGGCTGCGTTCAGCAGCATGGTTGGGAAATTTAACGCTGCGAGAGGTTTCTTACATTTCCTACGTATAAAACGTATATGTATAAAATGTATAAAACGTGTATTATATACGTTAGAATTGTAAAACCCATCTCACATGAAATACAACACAGTAAGCACTGGTGAGCACTGCATAGAATTGGACCACTGGACACTGGACCAATTAGTATTCACCTTAAAGTTGTCATTTTGATTTTGATATACCTTCTTATTGGTCCAGCAGCTTTATATTAAGCTTATAGTGATATATGGGCAATGTTCCAAAATTGAACGCCTGTACCGAAAAAATCTATAGTGCACGTAATACGTAATACGTATTACATTGAGTTTGATACGTGTTCAACCCTGTTCAGCAGAGAAAGCAGTTTTGCAACTGTTGTAAAATTCTTCAATATGATTGGTTTATACGTTTAGATCTGTGTGAAGGAACCAAAGCAAGAACCAATCGTATTGAAGAATCTTACAACAGTTGCAAAGCTGCTTTCTCTGCTGAACGCAACTGTTGGAAATTTCCTTCGCGCTAATTGGATCATACTTTTAGATCTAAAAGAATGGTCCTATCTCAGCAGACAATCATAAAACGGTTGCAAAACTGTTGAGTCTGCTGAACGCAGCCATTGCGTAGGCCGGTATTCATAGTCAGTTCTTATATTCAAGACCATCTTAAGTTCTGTCTTGAGGTGTCACGAACCTATCAGAGAGCCGCATTAGCGTCTTATGGCCGTATCACACTAGCGACTCGCGGCTGCGACTGCGATTGCGACTGCGATTGCGACTTTTCCTCGACCAATCAGGAAGCAGCGACCAGCGACGGCGACTCGCGACTACTATTTGGTCGGCCGTCCATTTTTCCGAGTCGCAATCGCAGTCGCAACCAATTACGAGCGTCTGTATTGTCACGTGATGCTTGTAAATGGTTCGAAACTGAAGCAGATACACGTAGTAAATATACACAATGTCAAAACAATTCAATAAAGAGCTAGATTATCGCTTGATCGACTTTGTGGAATCCAAACCCCTTCTTTGGGTTTGCACAAGTAACATTTACAAACGAAGTGATTTAAAAAACGCAGCCTGGGACGATATAGCCAAGCAGTTGGGTCCAAATTTCACAGGTACTAATTCATATCAATTATTTACAGTTTATTAATTCCTTAAACATTTAAAATTAAAAAATTACAATTAAAATAAAAATTAAAATTTGAGGTTATATAGGATTAAAATATCTAATTAAAGAGAGAGAGATTAAAATATTTATTAAGTTTTTTATTGATATTGTTACAGGTCTTATGGTGTCACAGCGTTTCCGACTATGAATACCGGCCGTAGTCTGATTCCAGCCTGACGCTCTCAGTGGAAACATACCCATAATCCGCAGTCGGTCATCGGTGGCGTCGGTGCCTAGCTGTGCCTAGCGTTCCCGGCTCCCGGCAATATTTGTCGCTCATTATTGGTATTTACCATCAATTTTCACGACCATTCTCGACAGGATAGAGATCCGGAGAAGACAATTGAGTTTCGAAGAAAAATAAGGACGCGACGAGGAACGTCCACGACTCGTCTGACTATGTTTCGGCGTGCGTTTACATCGACCTCGCGCAGTGTATCGGTAAGCCCACGTGGTGTCCCGTCTGCGTATTTTGGATCAGAATTTTCTTTTTCAGATTATTTCACACACACACACACGCACGCACGCACGCGCGCACGCACGCACGCACGCACACGCACACACACAACGGACAATTAATTTAATGGCAGGATTGTTCTCGGCAAAATTTCTGGCTATATAATTTATTAGATTCTTATTTAATTATTTTGAGAAACATGTGCGTGCGTGTGTTTATCGTTTTCTTGTACTTTTGAAGAAAAAGTGTCATGCTAGATTTGCGAAGTTAGAGCACGCTATATTTTTATATTTGGCTTTTTAATGTAAAAAATGTGGCTTTTTTATTTTGTTGTGGAACTGTAGAACTATGAAAAGTACTACTGGAATTGTCATGATTTATATTAATAGAATTTCGTGCTAACTTCATCAGATCCAAGTTTGTTGATTTCTCATAAACAATTGCATTTGAAAATTTAAATTTATTTATTTTTAATAAAATATTGAGATAAAATTACATATTTTTTAATAGAACCATATAAATTTTTTTATTTTTGTAGTATACTTTGATTATTCGATCTCAAGGTAATTCAGAACACTCAACGTGTTACAACTAATTTAAAGTTGATCCAGGTCACCATCTTCTTTCCATCTTAAAACCACAAAACTTGTTTGAAAGACTTTTTGAAAAAATTTCTCCTTTTCGAGATATTTGCGTGCATTGGTTTAAATGGTCTATCCTGAATATACAATATGTATTACTACTTATACACACGCTGTGTTTTGTTTTCTTTATGTGTGTATATAATAAATCTAAACTTAAATATTAAGTCTATATAAGCTCTAAGTTAATAAATTTACAAATAGTATTTCTATAAATAAAAGAAAAATGTATGCATTATACATATAATCTTTTCATCTACATCTTTCTACACTTTTTGTAAATAAGAAAGATAAATAAGCTTGTTAGAATTTAATGAAATTCATTTCTTTGCTCAAATTTAATCCCTCTTGAGCAATATTTTGCATGCTATAGATAAACGATGAGACTAACAAGAACTGCAATGAGAAAGATGAATGAAACCAAACTGTTGCAGCTGCTATCTCGGCTGTGGAATGGATCTAATGGTGTACTTGCGGGTAAGCATGCCGAAGAGAAAATGATATCCATCCTGAGGAACAGGTTTCCGCAAGCTCAGTTGATTGAAGTCACCGATGTATCAGGTAAAAATTATTTTATCCTATGTATATCCATTAGAGAAAGAGTGAAAGAGAAAATTTCTTAAGGCTCCTGATTAGTCACTGCGGCAATGTTAGAATCGTGATGTCATAAGCGAGAAACGACACATTAATTTATGTTATGCTACGTGCCATTTGTAAATAAAGACAATTTGGATAAATCGAAATGACAAGATCGCTTTAAAACACTTGTAAAAATGGATGAAAACTGTCCTTTCCTTTCTTGACAGTCGGTAAATCATCGTAAAAGGCATGTACAGTGGGGGGGAGGGAGCCTCTATTCGGGTGAAAAACACACGGTTTGACAGCTGTTGAAATAGGTAAAAAATATGCTTTTACGTACGAAATTCTAAGATAACTTTAATTTTCGTCCATTTTTACGACTTTGGTGTACAAGATAAGTCATATTTTCACAATTAAGCGCATAATAACGAAATGGCACGTAACGCAACATGTTGTCAAAATCGTCACTTTTCGCGCCTCTATTAGTTTAGCCTTTTATCATGGCGAGGCGCTGTAACAGAATTTCGTCGTTCACTCCTATTTTGTCGCTTGTATGTCGGTATTTGGCATACTTATCACCATATGGTATACATGTAAAATCAAACACAAAATATAAAAATATAAAATACAGTCAAAAATATAAAATAAAGACCATATATAAACATACATAGTTATATGAAATAAAGATATGATGTTTTTAAATATGTCCATACATGTTTATACATTCTTTTTTCTTTTGTAAAATTACAGTTTTTAGTGCAAGAAAATAGTAATAACAACAAGAAAAAACATCAAAAATAATTAAAAGGATAACTATCGTATTCTTTTCAGAAAAAAAAATCAACTTTGGAGAAATGTAAAAAAAATTGCTGATGTATAATTATATGTAATTCTCTATACAATTGCATGTGTAATTTTTTTACATTTCTCTAAACTTGACGTTTTCTAAAGGAAACATGTACAAAGATCACGATAAACATGAAAAAAGACCAAAATTGGTGTTCATTCAATCAGGAGTAAGCTGATTTTCCGGTATAGATTGTGTTCCGATATACACCGCCAGTATTGGCAGTACCGCTATTACTACGCAGCGCGCTGTGATAGCGTCTAGTTCCTTCAATGACGTCATAAATGGTAGCCATATTGCCATTGCGACTACTTCTGACCTTTTCGCACTCGTTCAGAGTATAGTCGGCACGCTTCCAACTACCAAGTCACACGGACACGGGCTCGTGCTTGTGTTGCCATCGGTTGCGCCAGGCCGCCGACCGGTGGCGCTGATCGCGTGCTGCAAGCGGCCCGGAATTCGCATCACTGCTACTGAGCTGCGTTCAGGAATTAAAGAGAAGTTTGAGAAGTTAAAATAATTTGATGCTGAATGATATGATGCAATCGCGTAATGTTGAGTGCTGTTGAGACGAACGAAGCAAAATGATAAAATCTAACAAAAAACAATGACGCATTACGTACGACTTCAGCGTGCCCTGTTCACGGAAAAACGATAGTAAATGCGTTAAAGCGGTTCAAAAAATTGTTGATATTGTAAATATTAATTGTAAAATATTAAATACTACAACAGTGATAATTGCTTTTACAATTTGACAAATTATATTTTATTTTAATAAGCAAATTATTAACATAAAATTAGTAGTGTTTAAATTATATTCATCCTGGATACATTTTTAACGCATCATGTGAACATAACACATGCGCGATGGAGAAGTGCGGAATAGCGCTGATTGGTGCTTTAATGACGCATTCTCTATTCCGCAGTCCTTTTTCTTACTGCTTACGTTTTACTGCTTAAGTTTTTTTGTGTGCTATGGTCCTTAAAAAATATACTTAGCGATACATTGATATAGTCGCAATTTTATTTTAGGAGGATGCGGTGCTATGTTTGACATAAATGTTGTTGCTTTGGAATTCAAAGGACTAAATACTGTAAAGCAACATCAAATTATTAATGAGGTAAACCTTTGATGATGCCTTTGATGATTCCAGAAAAATTAGTTATATCAATCAAGTTTACATAGGCTGCTTTCCTTTTAGGAGACAGTCGACACAAGTTAATACAAGTGTCGTTCTATCTTTGTCACTCTCTGAATGAAGAAGGATAGAATGACGCTTGTGTCGATTTGTGTCATCAAATGGAAAGCAGTGATAGTTTACAACATGAAATAATAGATTCACCGTTTATATATTCTTCAGCTCAATATAATTTAATTTTTTCTATATTTTCATTCAAAGTGAATAAAAATAACAATGCGATGCAATACTTTATAATTGTATTATATACAATTATAGTGTTTTGATACTATCTCTCTTTTAAATCTTGATTATCCAAAATTCCGTTTATCGAGACGCAATAAAATAATAGTCATCAGGAATAAAGATGAAAGATGCTTCCCTGCACCAACTCAAGATCTGTAGGCAGTTGATGCCTGTGAATCTACGTTACCTTATTGTATCCTTGATATTTTTCAACAACACTGATTACCATTGTGCGATTTTCTCTGACAGCATTGGCTAACTAAATTTGAAATTGCAAAGGTCTTTGAATGCCAATATCAGATTTATTTTTCAGACTAGATGGGATAAAGATGTTATACTTTATTATGACGCATTAAGATGGCACAAGATTAGTGCCTCTAGGAGGAATTATTTTATCGGTTATCATCTATATACTATTTTGAACAGTATAAGGCTTACCGTTTTGTTTGGTGAATTCGAACTTAGAAAAAGCTCTTTGTCAAAACTTACCGGACACCCTATATATTAATGTAATCTATGTATTAAAGAATAGACAACACTTAAACTCTAATAGTACTCATTTCAAATCATCATATATTTTATGCTTTCTAATTTTAAGATTTCTCGCTTCAGGAAGTTTTTCATCACCACCACTTTAAAATATTTCAGTTTCAATCAATTATTTGACCGAAGCCGCTTTTTTCATTTTTTACAAAATATACGCGTCATTTCCTTTGAATTTCTTTGAGTCGAAGAATATATGAAAATGAAGGTGGTTGTATCATTTTGTTAGGGAGTGTGCGTGTAGTATAACCAATCTATTTTATTGCAGGTTCTTAAGGAAGAAATCAAAGATATGCATGGCCTCCGAATACATACGAGTATCCCACCAGTATAAATTTTATTTTTGGACTTTTAAATTAATTTTACAGAAATAATTAATATCGATTTTAATGAATCTAATAATGGACGTCTTAGTATCTCTTTCCAGAGTTTTTAAAAGTATATTCAAGATCAAGAATTTTTTAATTTCGGATGATATTAAAAATAATTTTAGATTTTCATCAGATATTCGAGACAATTTGTTGTATGATCAGTCCATTATTAGCTCGAACCTTCATCAATATTTAGAGATCTTGTATAAAATATAGACAATGTTATGTATATTTTATAAGATGTAAATCATATGAACAAATGTAAAAAAACCTTAGAAAAAGAATAAGTGCTTAAATACATTCCACCACCTATTTTATCAAGCATACATTTATTAAGATTTTCATAAATAAATATTTAACATTTTATCCTAGATTTTATTTTTCTGGAAAATTAAAGACCTTATCCGAGTGTATTTTTTAAGATTAGTTTCGAGCGACTCGGTAAAGTCCCTATAATTGAATTCACCGATTGGTCCGAGCGTAACTGGTGGTCATTTCAGATTGGTTTCGTGCGATTCAATAAAGATCCCGTGATTCGAGCTCTCTGATTGGTCCGAGCGTAATTGATGGAGCTTTTAAGGGTGGTTACGCGATTAAATAAAAATTCTATGAATCGAGCTCTGTGATCGGTGTGAGCGGAGCGTAACAGGTGATGTTTTCGCGGGATTCGATAAGGTCCCTATAAATTGAGCTCTGATTGGTCCGAGAACAAGTGGCCGTTTAAGGTTGGTTTCGCGTGATTTGATAAAGTCCCTATGAATAAAGCTCTCTGTTCCGAGCGTAAGGGTGAAATCACACGGTGCGAAAAAA